GGGGGGGGGGGGGGGGGGTGGGGGGGGGGTAAGTGCGCTGTGGGTGCGTGGCTGTGAGTGCACGTGTGCACGACTGCAATCGGGTGGGGGAGGAAATAGGAAGCATCGCCTGGACAGGGTAAACCATGCATTGGCGACACAAGGACAGGCGAGGGCAGTGGGGCTTGAGGGGGTAGGAAAGCGCCGCGCTTCCTCCCAGGACACAAGCCAGCCGAGGCCCCGCACTCACCTTGATGGGCTCCCCTCGTGGGGGGGCCGGGGAGTGGTTGCGCACCCAGAAGGGGAAGTCCTTCACCGTGGACTGGCCCAGGCCCCGGGCGACGGTGACGCGCAGGAGGTACCTGAGCCGGACCTTGAGGCCCAGGTAGGAGTCGTGCTGCATCTCCACGTTGTCAAAGGAGAAGGAGTAGGCCTGCTGGGAGGGCAGGTCGCCGGGGGGGGCCAGGTCCCGCACCAGCGACAGGAACTCGTGGGGGTAGCCTCGCTCCGAGGCCAGTTCGATCTCCCCCACCAGCTGCACGCGGATGCCGGCGTGGTCCACCCGCTTGCCGGGGATTGGAGTGATCTTGACCTGAGGGAGGGTAGGGTGTGGAGCATGGGGGGGGAGGGCCAGAGGCGGTCTGAACGACCAGCAACCCAGTCCACCCCTGCCCATGCCAGCAGGTCGCACCTCCCCCTCCACGGTGTCCTTGGACCGGTAGACGGGCAGATCCTCCGTCTCATCTCTCCTGGAGGCCGAGCGCGTGCTCTTCACCGCTGCGGTTGGGACTCCACCCCCCCCCGATCGCCGGAACTCCAGCTGCACGGAGCAGGAGTGCCCGATGCCCAGGCCCCCAAACAGCTTGTTCTGTGGAATGCGAGCAAGTTGAGCTTAGTGTGAGGTCTTCAAATGGGATCACCCTGTGTCCAGCCGACGCTGCAGGGGCTGAAAGGTGTTCCCACCGCACCATCTTGGAGGAGGGGTTTCAGCTCCCAGAGGGGCAGCGCTCCTGGTCCTGCGGAACGGATGCGCGCACCTCCTCCACTAGCAGTGCAACCCACGACCCAACAATCCCGGGGCCAACCCCCAAGCCTCGTCGACGGAGGTCAATGCCCGACACACTGGGGTGTCGGGGTTTCTGGGGGAAGGGATACACTTCTGGGCCAGGACTCAGGGTAAAAGAACTCGCCACAGTGTATGCTCATAGATGTATCCACTATGAGCTGTGTACAATGATCTCCCAGGTGGTTGCTTCCTTCACACTAAAGCTACAACTCCGCTCAGCGCGCCCGATTGGCGCTCGTCTGCCATCGGCAGGAAGCCGGCGACTGATCAACATCAGAAGTCCAGCAGTCGCAACTGTCGTTCATGGATAAAACCCTCGACCCAAATACGTTCAGCAAGCTTGGGACTGCCCTGTGATGTCCTTCCATAGGCTCAGCACCATACTGATCAACGGCAACAACTGAATTGCACACACTCTCTACATACTGCACGACGTGCCTGCCACCTTTCACCTTGATAGCTAGACCATTTTCACCCTGCAATGGCATACCTAACACGACGTGAACATTTCAGTGCTACCAGATGGCATGAAGGGACGCTCTGAAGCTTTGTGAGGGTATCCCACTCCTCACATCAAAATCTTGGCAAATAGTAGCCAAGGCCCTCCTATGCCTTACACCTGGACGCTGTTGTCCGTGGTATATACTGGGAGCTTTACCATTCACAAAGTGAGGATGCCCGCGAGGTCCACATCCCAGCAATTCTGTCAGCACGTCGTGGACCAGGAGTCACTCAAGTGGTAGTGATGGGATGACACCTGAGGGAGTGCCCCGAAAGCATTCTGTCGGGGACATTGGGATTACTATTATTTTCCTATACCTTCATGCCATCATTATGTTCGGATCAGCTATACCAGATATAGGGAGCCCCTGCATTACCCAAAAAAATCCAACCACACTTGTGCATTATGAGGTAACCCATATACCCCATCGATGGACAGGATAGTCTTGCAAATGGGCGATTTGCTTCGAAATAGACTGGTTACAGTGTAGCTGACTGGCATCACTCGCAATACTGCTGAAAGTTGGATGAGACGCCGGACCATCTGACGTGACAGTATTCTCGGCTGTGCGTTCTCACATCACTTCCCTAAGGTTTCGTCTCGGTAGATAGCCTTGCGGGTGATGCGATGACCATACAGCCCTAAACACTCGTCTCATGTCGCAGGCTTGGGTTCAGTTTAAATTGTCACGGCAACCCAAGGGGAGTAAGAAGGTGCCCCTCCTTCCTTGGAGAATAATCGACCCGGGGATGGGGCCTCTGGAAACCTCAATTTCAAACTCAACGCGTCGCACAAAGACATGAGCATACTTCTCACCGATCCAGGCCAAATCCATCCATCAAAGACTCGAAAAGAGCATTTCTAGCGTCACCATGCGTTTTCCTATCGTTCTCGCCCTGGCTCTGGTTGCTGTGGCAGCCCCAGCATTTGCGGCAACAATCACAATCACTGGCTGCGACTCCAGCACGCTGAACAATGACACCATCGTGAGAGACCTGGGCTTCTGCCTGAATGAACTAGCGGCGAACGTCACCACATGCCCCGAGGCTTGCCCGGAGCCCCTTGAGGAGGTGCGGGGCGAGCTGTAGGTGGCGCCGCGGAAAGTTAGAAGTTCGACTCCTCGCGAGCGGCCCTGATTGGTATTTCCATGTTTGCCCCTTTGCAGGTTGGTTACAGCTGCACCATGGGCCTCGTCGATTACTACGCAACCCAGGGTGTCTTTGACAAGCTGGGGTTCACCCTGGCGCAGATCCACGCCCGTGTGTAAGTAACAGGGGGTTTGAGCCTCCCGAACTTGACCTCTGATGCTCCCATCTCCAGTATGAATGCATTGTATTGATCAAAGTTGTCTGATTCCGGCATCGGACGCCTTCCGAGAGCGTCGACTCTCCTGATTAACAATGGTCATGAAGATGCCCAGACCTCGGTACTTGCATCATTTGCCTCCCTGGAATCCAGATCACTGATCAACCACATTCATCCTTGTTCCCCATGTAGTGAGGCGATCTTCGAGGTTTGCGACATCAGCACTGCCATTCCCCCCTCCCCCGCTCCAAGCGAGTCGCCCAGCGTTGCTCCTTCCCCCAGCAGCAACAGCCCCACCACATCTCCCAGTAACACCCACTCCCCACCACCTCCGTCATCCGCTCCTGTGAACTCAATGGTGCGTTGGGGAGCCGAGGGAGAGGATCCTGCAAGCCTGATGGTGTTGCAAGGAGTTGCCTGCTATGCAGCACCGCCCACCCCATGCACCAGCAGCATGTGTCATGCGTTATCGATGCTTGTGTGAGAGTAGCATCATCACATGCTCACCACATGTTGATATCCCCCACATTGCTTGTCCATTGCTCTCCAGGTTGTTGGCGTGGTTGCTGTGGCGGCGACTGTCCTTTCCCTGATGTGAGACGATCTGTATGGTGCTGTAGCTTGTACCATCACCATAAAAATGATCGCTGGGTATTCTCGGCCTGATGCTATTGCAGTGGTGCGTTGAGATGATGCAAAGCGTGCTTGTGCTCGGTGTGATGTAAGAATGTCAGATGAAACATCCCATACCCCCCTAGGGGGCGGTGACTTGTTTGCATGGACAAAAGCGAGTCATAGATGTCCCCCAGGAGTTGCGCATGCGGCTCAGTGACTCTATTGCATGTCTCAGTGGCTCGTAATTACTCTAGTTCGACGATCAGTCGCCTGTTTTGACCCAAGTGAAGTGTAATAAGCATATCGTGGTTGTACGTCGTGTTGCGTGGATGTCCGGAGCCCTCGCTGCCCGAGGGGCGAGCGAGGAGGGCAACCGTGGACGGGTCGAGGCCACCAAGGTTCGTCGGTACTGGCCAGGCAAGCGACCTGACTGGGTCGGCAATGAGGAGGAGGAGGACTTGGCGGTCCCCAGCACCGCCCCTGCTGCTGAAGATGAGCCGACCAGCGTGCAGCGCACAGGTGTGAAGGTGCAGTAGTCACTCCTGCTGTGCAAGAGTGAGGTTTGTGGGAATTGGACATACCACAGGGCTCGGAGTCGGCCCCCCAGGCCCCCTTGCCTCCCTCCCAACAGATATAGCTGCACCGGTGGTGGTGCTGAAGGAGGATCCCCGGTTGAGACGGCTGCAACAGCAGCAGGCAGAGCTTGCTGTGAGTGAGCCGGGTCGACACCGAGACATTACTGAGCCCCAGGTGCGCTGCGCGCCAGTGTGCGGACCTGCACTATGACGATGACGATCCAAGGGAGTTCCAAAGTTGTAATTAGGCCACCTGTGTAGATGCTGCTAGCTCTGGACACAAAGTATAGCTTAAAGCCCGTCTGCTGCTGGATGGGACTCCCAGTGAGCAAGCCTGAACCCTCGCTCTGATCACTGACAGGTCGTTCGCAGACGACGCGAGGCTGAGACCTCTGGCAGGGATGAAGATGGTGAGGCGCCCTCGTCCGAGGACGAGGACGCCTTGGAGAGGCGACGAGCAGCTGTCCGCGAACGGTGAGGAGTGCTTGTCGTGGGTTTGCCTGTGAAAGAAGCAAGGGATTGGGGTCCTGCTTGCAAGAACTTGGTCAGCGGTTCATTCACATCAGTGAGATCATTCTATGCAGTCTGAGATGTCTACTTCCCTGGGCTGCCTATGTGGTGGATAATGGTGGAGCATGCTACTTAAGCTTAACTCACGTCCAGCCTCTTGCAACCGGATGCAGACTGAAGCAGGAGGAGGCTGCAGCAGTAGCTCAGGTCAGAAAGTTTCAGTGCCCCAGGCAAAGGCTGGGTGTCCCGTGGCATACGATGCTCTTTCTCATGTGTTGCATGTCTTCAAGAACTAAAGCTTTCATGCAGGCAGGTCCCACGGCGTTTTCTGTACCCACCAACCTGAACCCCTAGGAGGTCGAGCAGGAATCGGAGGAATCGGAGGAGGAGAGCTCAGAGTATGAGACGGAGAGCAGCGAGGAGGAAAGCCTGGCACCCCGGCTCCTCCTCAAGCCCGTCTTCGTTCCGAAGGCGGATAGAGAGGTGGGGCCTGGGCTGGGTGGTGTGTATGGTCGGCAGCCAGCTGGAGAGCTTGAGGTTGGGAAGCCGGGCATACTACTGTTGTGCCCCGTGCTGGTAGTGTTCTACTCCCAGCTGCATTCCCCTGCTCTCCTCCCTGTCCATGACACGCTATCCTCTCCCTGCCAGACCATCATGGAACGTGAGCTACTGGCCAGGCAAGAGGAGGCGCGGCTGGCTGCCGAGCAGGCGCGGGCCGAGATCAGAAAGGTGATGAGTGGCTGGGTGGCGGGTGGTGCAGGCTGCCTGGTCAACGCAGTGCCCCATTGGCATGTGCACCACCCTCGATGGCGCCCCTGTTGAACTTGTTCTGCAATGGTCTGTGAGCGATTGCATGTCGGCATCCTGACCCTTCAGCGTTGTGACACACACCCTCCCCCCCCTTTCCGTCTGCCAGGTGGAAACCAAGGAGATCCTGGCTCACCGTCTGGAGGTGGAGGCAGCGGAGGAGGCCAGCGCTAAGGTACCGCGGCTGTGGGGTCAAGGGCTGCCAGGAGGTCGTTTGGGGGGGAATGCGGCCAGGCACCCCCCTGGTCCCTCCACTCGCTGCATGTCATTTCCGCGCCATCCATGCTTGCACCTGCAGGAGGGTCCTCGGGGCATGGATGACGTCGTCACCGATGACGATGCCGATGACGACGAGGAGGCGTACGAGGCCTGGCGCCTGCGGGAGCTGCGCCGCATCGGCATGGCGCGGGAGGCGCGGGAGCGGGAGGAGCGCGAGGCGGCCGAGAAGGAGCGCTGGCGCAACATGAGCGAGGAGGAGCGGCGGCGCCACCTGGCTCTGAACCCGCGCGAGGTGGCGCCCAAGCCCAAGAAGAAGTGGGGCTTCCTGCAGGTGCGCCTTGGAGATGAATGGGGAAGGGGGTCCCCTGCCTCGAATACTTTGATGGCTTAATGCGGGGCTGGGTGCGACTGGTGGCAGGCAAATGCTGGCGCTGGGGTGGGGGAGCAGCTGCATGTGCGATAGTGAGCACGATGAAAGTGGAGGGCTGCGTGCCCCTTCCCTATCACCACGCCTATGCCCCCGACCACCCCAATCCGTCCCTGGTCGCGCTGCGCAGAAATATTGGCACAAGGGCGCTTTCTTCCAGGAGGAGGGCGATGCGCAGGTCGAGGACGGGCCCATGCTGGGCGCCTTGGCATCGCGAGACTTCTCCGCCCCCACCGGCCAGGACAAGTTTGATCGCAGCACGCTGCCCAAGGTCATGCAGGTGTGTCCCCAGGGGTGTGCGGATGCGGCTGGGGTGGGTGAGGAAAGGGCCGCCGCAAGTGCGCGGGTGTCGGAGCCCTTGGTCTGAGTTGGCTTCAAGCAAGGAGGCCTGGCTTGAGGATCCACTGATTACAGCTGCCATCCACACTCCTGCCCAGGTCAAGAACTTTGGACGACGGGGTCAAACCAAGTGGACCCACTTGGCCGACCAAGACACCACAGACTGGGGCACGCCTTGGGTTCAGGTGGGCTGGGATAAGAGGTACGGGTTGGCCTTGACCAGTCTTTCTTGCGAGCTTCAGCATTGTACGCGCGGATATCCGTGGTCCACAGGATGCAGGTTTCACTCCATGCCCACATGCGCGTTCATCCTTACTGCCTTCCCCCTGCAGAACGACTCCCTCCGAAACAAGTACAACCAGAAGATGGCGGCCTCAGAACAGGTCTTCACCAAGCCAAAGTCCACGCGAACTTGAGGGCAGGGGCAGGCTCGCTCCACGCCGGCGACTGGCTGGTGGCCTGGGGGCGGCGGCACCCCTTGGACAACCACACCCTGGTCAAAGCTACTTCCCCTTCAGTGCAGATGACTGTGTGTGGGTTTTCACCAGGGGACTGCTATGCATCTGCACTCTGCAATGTACACAGAAGATCAAGCGAGAAGGGGACGGGGTGGGTCTTGTGTGCAAGAAGCACCAGGAATGCGCGCTCTAGATTCCCTGATCCTTCAGGTAGTCGCCCAGGTTCTCGACGACAACATTGCACTCTGAGCCCGTGACACCTTCTCCATAGATGCCGAAGACAAGAGCAGTCGTCGTCTTCTTGATGGTCACACCGCCTGAGGACGGAGGGGGGGATTCAGGGCTAGGTGGAGGGGGAGAGCTGGTTGGCATCCGAAGCGGCACCCCGACAAAATGTACCATGGAGAAGGCCATGATCACGCCCAGGCCCTCATAGAGCCCACAGACCAGCCGCCTTTTTAGGCATCTGGACGGCATGGTCGTGAACTTCAGGAGCATCAGCATGCCTACAATACAATCTCCTACGCCCAAAAAGTAGGCCTCTGGAAGCTTACCTGAGCCCTTCTTCCCTCGAATGGCCTCTCCTGGCTCCCCTGCCACCACCATATACTTCTCCCCGCCGATGCGCAGGCCGTTCACCGCCAGGGCGGATGAGTCGTCGAACCCTGCGACGATGGCATCCACCTCCGCTTCTGTGATGTCGGGGAAGTCGGGGCTGGAGGCCCACACCCCGCCATCGTGCCCCAGGATCGCTGCGTGAGCCAGGACTCCGCCCCCAGGCAGCTCCGCCAAGAGGTGGTCATCGATGTATGCCTACAATGTGAATTGCGCTCCTCGTTTGTTAACCAAAAAGGCATGATGATCGCATCCAGTGGGGACCAGACACCCAGAACGCACCTGCCAGCTCATTGCGTAGCAACAGGTGAAGATGTGACCACGCGAGGAAGAAGAGCCCCTCTACAACCTCTGCATGGCAAAGGGATACATATTGCACTTATCAGCCCGGGCACTGCATCGCAGGATCGAACAGGCACCGGAGAAGCCCAGAATGACAGATTTCAACTGCCTGAGGGCTCAGCGATCCCCTGCACCTGAGCCCACCTCAGCGACACGTCGACGTTCACTTGTGGATGATATGGAGCTACAAAGCGAATGTGTCTAGCTGTGATGCAATTCTGGTATCGTGGATCGCGCTAGGGGTTGCCAGGGCCGCCCTGCCGGGGCCTCTCCACACCCGATCGCTTGCCACCTCAGCAGGCGCCCGGTCGGCATCGTTCTTTCGTAATGGGCCTGCAGCAACTCATGTGCGAGTCCCATTCGCTGGCGAAGTAGAACTACTTTGGCTTTTTAGTGTGGCAAGTATGCCAGAACAGTCCCTGTTCACCCGGTACAAGGCATGGGTGCGCCGGAATAACGTCGCCCTGAACCTTTTCGAGACTGGTGCGCACCTCGCGGAGGCCTATTCCCGGGAGGGCATGGCGCAGACCAGTTGGGACCTGCGCAATCTCCATATGTACGACTCATGATCCATTTTCTGGCCCGATGTGTGTGAAACTCACGCCGTGGCTCTCTGTCTCCCCTCCCCCCCATCTTCCCAGGGTTGTCCAGCGCCACCTGGCTGCTGCCGGACCGCTTCAGCGATGGCGAGTTCTCCTACGAGGCGATACACACGGCCATAGGCCTCATATCCACCTTCCACGAGTCCATACTCAGCGGAGCGCACGACAGGGATGGAGGGGACCTGCTCCTGGCACTGGGCGTCCTCCAGCAGCTGCAGGTCCTGGTGGAGCTCGGCGCGCTGTGGGGTGAGCGCGCCCGGGGACGCAACCGCTACGATGCCCTGGTGGCCTACGAGGCCCTCAAGTGAGCGCGCGGCGTCGGGTGGGGTGCGGGGGTTCCAGTGGGCCCTGGCAATCTCGCGGTGTGCTGCAGGGAGCCCGACCGCCGGTTCCTGGCGCCCTGCCGCCCCAGGCACGCCCCAGGCACGCCCCTGCCACGCCTCCCCATCGCATCCCCTCTCTGTCTCATCCTCCACCGCCCCACCTCTGTAGGGCCGGCGTGCGTGGCTTTGTCCTGCTGCGTTCCCAGGGCCGCATGCTGCTCCAGGGTGGACTGGGAAACCTGGAGCAGGAAGCCCTGGCCGCCTCCACGTCGGGGCGCCCGGCGGGCGGGCGGCCCACCGAAGTGTTTGACGCCTTTGCCAGGTTCAGGGAGCACCACTGCAGGGCCGCGCTGGAGGAGGAGCGGGGTGAGGGGGCGGGGAAGGGCGACGAGGCAGATGGACTCGGCGCACGAGGCGCCACGCTGTCCTCTGCCGAGCAAGCGACGATGGAGGCAGCGTGGCAGGGCGCCGTGGGCGCCGCAGACGCGTCCGCCCCTCTCTGGTGGGACAGGGGCGCCTGCGAGCCTGCCACCGGTGCGGACCCATCTACAAGTTCCGGCGCCGGCCCCGGCGTCCGGCCGCAGAGCGCGGGCGACGTCGCACGCGCGGCGGCGGCCGCGCAGGCGCGGTCGGCGCGGCTGCTGGCGGCCGCCGAAGCGCTGCACGTGCTCCGCCCCCTGATCTACGCGGCGACGCTGCGGCGCTGGGGTCGGCGCGCCTGGCGCCCCTGGCTGGCCAGCCTGCTGGTGGACCTGGCCAGCCGCCAGCTCAGCTTTCGTGCGGCCGCCACCTCGCGCCAGGCCGCCTACGCCGCCGCTGCCTCGCCCGCGGTGCAGGGCACCAGCATGGCGGTGCTGTACCGCCTCCAGGGCATCAGGTGTGTGTCGTGTGGGCGTAGGCTTGAGGGGGTGCCTGGGGAATCGCATCTGCAAGGCTTTGGCGTGCAGGGGGTTTCATACCCTATGAACAATCAGTGCCAAGGTTGATGGCCCCCTTTCCTCCCCAAAATAATCACACATGCACAGGTTCACGGCGGCGGAGTCTGAGGAGCTGCTGCGCCGACGCACGAGCCTGCTATTCTACCTCCTTCGCGATCCGGTGTTTGCAAGCCACACTCGGCCTGCGCTGGGCAGGCTGGCCGGCAAGCTGGAGCGGGTGCCGCTGGTTGGCTGGGGAGGGGGCCGGCTGCTGGAGATCCTGGACGGCATGCAGCAGCTCTACTCCTACACCAGTGCGAGCTGATGGGGCCGGGCATCCATGGCTGCGCGATGGCAGCGTGGTGCGACCTGGTGGGCTGCTCAGAACACCACGCAGTGCATGCGCAGGATATGTGCATCTGGCACACCGCCGGTGCCCATGCCCCGCAAGATCACGTGCAGGGCCACTTCCCCCCCCGCTTGGCCAGAGGTCTGCAGCCAAACAGAATACAGCTCCTTCATGCAAGTGCTGATGCAAGTGCTGGAATCCGGGAGTGCAGTGGCAGCACACACAAAACAACATGAGGCTGGGGGTAAAGGCTGGTCAGGCAACATGAACCGAAGCTCGGTGTTGGTAGGAGTTTCCAGCAGTGAGGAGTTCAGGTGCAGGGGGGATTCCGCAATCCAATGAGGAGGGCGCGCGAAGCAGTGATGCCTTCGCGCGCAATCCCGACACCCCGAGATCACTTCGGGGGGATACAAGTGCAGCGAGTGGTCTCAATGCCAGCATGTCGAGGGCTTCTCAGATGAGCGTCAGCCTCGTGGACTGAATTGGGCCCCGTATTCATACCTCTCTCCAAGCCGAGGTAGATTCCCCGCGTCGTTTGTGTCGGGGCCCTCATGGGCCGGCTCTTCATCGAGTTCCTGGAGTCGCCGTCCAACAAGGGGGTGTATGCATGTAAAAAGTGTGCTCTCGGAGGAGAGACTGTACATCTGGCTCGCCTGGATGACATTCTCAGCAAGGCAAGAGGCTACGGGGCCACCCCAGCGGGGTGTGCGGTATTTTTCTCTGGCTTCCGGGATCTGCCCCTGGTTCTAGTCGAGCGGCGCACCGCCACTTCTGACTTGTGTCCCGTCGACCCATGCAGTCGTTTCACTCTCGATCTGGCCCGGCGTACCTATTCCACCAATGCGTGAACGTCACGGCTGGCCCTCCCGAAGTGCGAGGGTGGGACGTACGGGGACTGGGAGCCTCGACAGTGCAGCGCTGAGGTATGATGAAGCCGCTTCTCTTCTTCAAATATCTGACAGGAGCTCCCGATTCAACATACCCCTCCAGGAGAGGGAGCTGACGACGGGGCGACATACTGTGTGCGACATTCACTGCACGTGCTGCCGAGAGGTGCGGTGGAGCTCAACGCTTGCACAATTGGATGACCGACTCTACTCATATCAGCATAATTCCTTCCACCATTCCATTCTCACACAGTACCTCCCACCATTTCCCCTCACAGGTGGTAGGGTGGCTCTATATCAGGGCTCAGGACCCCCGGGAGCGATACAAGGAGCACAAATTCATCTTGGAGCGGTCAAAGGTTCTTGGGCTTGACAGTCGGGCACCTGTCTCGCCCCTCACCTCCGCCTCCCTCTCCTCCAGTAGCGACGTAGAGGATCCCTTCGAGATGGTGTGAAGTCACACCTCCTCTTGTGACGTCATTCACAAAGCAAACCCTGGGAGTTCTCCACTCAAGAGGGATGCGCTAACGCTGTGCCAACATCTCGGCTGTGCCAAACACCCACATCTGAGACCCCAATGCTCCCGCGCCGAGAGCCCATTGCCCTCCAGGGGGCCTCCTGTATCCTCACCAGACAACTGCGCTGTCCTGTACCACCACCGCCTTCTGTCCTGCCCCAAACCAACCCTTCCATCATCGGGAAGGGGCTCCATCGTGTGTCCCCATAGACACAGGGCCCCTCACCCCAAGCCCAAGCTTTTAGCACTCCCTGATGTGGCATTGTATTGCTAGCCTGCATGTGGGCTGTATCACCTTTTTGTCATTTAGAAAATGAGGAGCAGAAGGAAGGCTGTAGCGCAAGATTTAAGAAGAGGGTCTGCAGGGGACCCTTACTCCAGTCAGCGGGAGGAGAGTGGTGCAAAATCAGGAGATAACAATTGTTTACCAGGAGTGCTGTTGAGTGGGGCAGGAGATTCTACTGTGTACCCTCTGCTTCAACTGCCTGCATGGCGTCCAGGCCAGCGGCTGCAGTGAGAGCTGCTCGCTCAGCAGCCTTGGCCTCCCTTTCCTCTAGTTCCTCGAGCTGGTTCTCCGCCTCGGCCCTCTCGAACCTGTTTTTTTACGGAAGGAGGCAAGGGTCAGGCAGGATGAATCTGAGCTGATCATGGCCTCTCAGTGCTTGACGAGGGCGCCAGAGCGATTAGCATGAAGGATCCGCAAGCAAGCCAGCTCAAATTCATAACACACCACCAAATTGTCACATAGAGACCTTCCTCGACCCAGCCACACCACGAACAAAAGGCTCTCCAGGACCACACACTCCCAGTGCCACGCCTGTCAGCCACCCCACCCACCCAGCAGCCTACCAGTCATCAGCATCTGCCCATACAGGCTGCGACGCCCAGCCCTTGTCCCCGCCCTTGATCTTCATGGGTTGGGCATAGTTGACACGCAGGACACGGCCGAAGAGCTCTGTGAGGAATTGATGGGCGTGTGCAGTGGGCACGACACCGCACACATCTGGCTTGGAGCTTGGCCCGCAACAATTGCGCCAGGGACCCTCGCGTGTGATGGAAAATGGCTTGCCCACACACTGCCCATGCCAGAACCACAGCACTCCCACTCCACAGCCCTACAAGACACCCACCTCCATTGTGCATGTTGTCAATGGCGTCCGCGGCGTCCTCTGCAGTCTCAAAGTCTACAAATCCAAAGCCGCGATGCTTGCCGCTGGCATGGTCGATGGGGACAGATACGTCCTTGATGTCACCGAAGGGGATGAAGGCTGCGTGTAGGATGGCATCTGTCACGCTCTCCTCGAGACCGCCGACATACAACGTGGTCTTCGGGTTGGTGCCTTTGCCTGAAAGGGACACGAGAGTGGTTTGTGCCATCCCCGGCCCCACGGAATAGGTCCGCACAGCCCTTCAGGGCGGCAGAAAGTCACAAGCGTGTGTTGAGCAATCTATCTAGAGAGTAAAATAGGGGATGCAGGGCATTATCTTCCCAGAATGACAAGCTTTGCGTGCACGATGGAGCAGCAAAGGTTTCGACGAGAGCCTGCGGTGCATGCGCTGGCGTCACGCTCGCCCTCCGGAACAGGGGCGCCCTGACACCTGACCACGCAGACAAGTTGATGCTCGCACGATGATTTCTAGATACCAACGTAATAGAATGCATTGCTGCACATCAGTAGTCCCTCGGTGACGTATACCATGGATGAGGTGCGGTGAGAGGGTAGAGCATCACCTGGCGCCAAGAAGGATCAAAGCGATCGCCGACTCTCTCATCCTGTTCCCCTCTCCACAGGACGAAGAATTTGGCGATGTGTACACTGATCTACCGCCAGTGTCTGTAAACTCCCAGATCGAGCCCCTTGAACCTTCAGAGGGCCCTGTGCTTGCAGAGGTGCTGGGAATGTGAAAGGAGTCCCACGGTCGTCTGATGGCTTTGCCTGCATGATTTAAAGACGTCTCCAGGTTGGCATGCCGACTGGAGTTGTCATCTGATGCACCCTCAGGCATCTGCACCCCCACAGGCCGGGGACAGGCCAGAGGAGGCCGGTGCGCGCTCTTCCGATGGTCCCTCCCCAGACCCCGCGCTTGATGCCCCACGGGCATGGGAGGAGGCTCTTGATGGGGAGAGAGAGCAGCTGTTTGCCGGGTTCTCCGGTCGCATGGAACCCCAGGTGGTCGTGGCCGAGCTCCAAAGGTGGGCCGTATATCAGGGCCACCTCGTCGACACTTGCGCCAGCCATCCTTCCTCCCACTCAAATCCACCAGATTCCCTTCCCTCAACCCACTGCAGGCGTCAGCAGGAGGCAGAAACCCTTCGCACCGAGCTGGGGACCTCCCAGGTCGCGCAGGCGGAGCTGCATGCCTCCCTGAGTGCGATGGCCCTGGAGAACATTCGGCTGAGGGATGCGCTGGCGGCGGCGCAACGGGCCGCCGAACCGAGCGTGGTCCAGCTGCGGCAGGTGCTCCTGGACCCCGCCGTCAATGCTGAGCTGGCGAGGCTCAAGCGAGAGTTGGAGCGTAGGTCGGGCCGGGGACCGGACGACCCCGCGACTGGGAGGGTGAGCCGCCGTGGCTTGGCGTTTGGTTGTTTGCTGAGGTGGGGTCGCATCTGCAGGGAAACTCTGGACGAGGGCAGGCAAAGCGGGCATGGCACAACTGTGCATGGTGTTTGGGGTTGCCAGCTATGCCAGTCGGTATGCGCACAGATGGCTTGTGCTTGCTCCCTCTTGCCTGCAGGCTGGTAAGCGAGGGCCACCAGGGTTCACGGCCGCCCCATACCCCCGAGCACCCAAGGTGATGAGCACTGCCTTTGCTTACAGGAAGTGTTTTGTGAGGCTTGGAATTGACATGTTGGATTGTTCAGAATACTGAAAGGGGTGCAGTTTGCGGCGACCACCGGCACAGCTCCTTGCCCCTCGCGGCGCCCATCACCGCCGCCACCTCTCAAACCCACTCCGTGACACCAGGGCATGGAGGAGGTCCAGGCGGCAGGACCCAGGCAAGAACCCTTCCCTGCTGCTGGAGGCCTGAAGCAGGTCATGGAGCTGGGGCGGGCAGAGCTGCGGGATTTGCAGGCTGCTTACGACGGTGTGTTCAGGGGTGGCACGAAGTGTCCTGTCTTGCAGGGACACATGCTTCCAGGCTGGGTGCGATGTGTTGGTGGGGCCTCAACGCGGGTGGGAGTGGAAGTCTGCTGTGAGGACAGGCCAGAGCTGCCCCCCCCTTAAAGTGCAGAAAGAGATGTCATCACTGCACCCTCTGCGTGCTGCAGTGCCTGGCCACCTCACCCACCCCTGGCCACCTCCAACGCCCCTCAGAGCTCGAATCGCGGGCGCATGCGCTAGAGGAGGAGCGTGACACGCTTCAGCGACAGCTGCGGCGGCGGCATGCAGCCGAGAAGTACGAGGCCGCTCTCAATGGGAAGGCGGTGGGCGCTGCGCCGGCCGTGCCGCGCCACGGCAAGAGGGCACATGGCGACGCGGACATGCGAGGCTCTGCTCCTTCGCCCCGGGCCGCCGAGCGGGCCAGGGGCCATGCCGTGGACGAGCGGCAAGACCGCCGCAGGCGACGTTCCTGACAGCTGTGCAGCCGCGCGTGTGTGTGTGGAGGGGCAGATGGCACAAGCAGTGTGAGTGGCACCTGATGCTTTTCCCTGATCGCTTGAGCCTTTTCCCAACAGGCGTGCATTCTCGTCATGGTGCTTGTCACAGATCTTAGCAAGGCCTGTGGAAAGGATCCACATCGAAAGCCTGGAGACTAAGAGCCAGGGGCAGGGGCGCCAACCTTTGCCCGGCCCCTCGCACTCCCTGCCCTCTTGCACCGCGGTATCTCCTCCACTCAGGCCCTGCGGGCGGCCTTGGCGAGGGTGCGCGCCTTCCTCGCCGCCACCGCCGGCCGCTTCCCCTCCGATGCCCGCTTGAGCTTCTTGGCTGGGCCCTTCGCTGACCTGGCGGCCACCCCCGCAGCGGCCACGCCTCGGCGCTTGGGTCCAGCCGTGGCGCCCTGCCACGGCGACGCGCCCGCCCCCACTGCAGAGGCCTTGACGCGCGTGACCCTGATCTTGCGCCCGCCCAGTTCGTGCCCGTCCAGCAGTACTGCGCTGCGGGCGGCTGAGCGCGTCTTGTACAGGATGAAGGCGATGCCTGCAGCATGGTGATTGGGAATCATGTGGGTCGGACAGAGGGTGTGGAAGTAAAGCAAAGCAACAGGACGCAAGGCGTTGTTGTGTTCCACAGGGGAACATGCGAATGATGCTGGTCAGGCGGGCATTGTTGAAATTGAGTTGCCAGAGAACAGGAACACCCGTGCCAGCAGGAAGGCCTGAGAGCACATATGCTCTCAATCATTCAAAGTACATAGCCCTGCTCCTGCAGCCTTTCACGTTCACGTGTGCAGGCCTGCACCTACTTCCACCCCTTGCTCATGCACAGCAGGCAACCCGCACCCCTGTGCACCACCCACTCACCCTTCCCAAGCGTGGTCTTGCGATCACGGACGACGCGCACAGCTTCAATGCCTGTCCGAAGCTCGCTGCTGATGCTGCCGTCGGAGAAAAATCGGATCACATCCTCATCCTGTCGTGGAATGATGGCGTAAGTGGCGCGTGGTGAGAAACCTTCTGGCTCAGCGGCCTTCTCCGCGCCGACTGCCTGCCTGCTTGCTCCACTGTGCAGAGTAACGTGCAGGATATTCAGAAACATACCCCAAGAGACACATATCAGCACATGGCCTCTCACCTCGACGCTGCGGGGCAAATTTCCTGCGAACACTGAGCGAGTTGGGTCGTACACGACCCCATCCTCCTTCGACACGCTGGGGCCGCCGCCCGCGCTCTGCACGCTGCGGTTTGCTGCCGCCCTGTCCACCCTCAGGTGCCGCCCCTCGTGCTGGGAGAGAAGTACGGGTAGGATGTAGGACGGCCACCAGGGATATAAACTGGAGTCTGGCGCAATCGCGTATCACGCCGCCCAGGATCCGCCTGGCATTGAAAACATTTCCTCCATACACATAACCCAGCGTACCTCCATCATATTTAGGGCGAGGGCAGCTGGGAGGCTTGCCTCGTCCTCGAAGACCACGTAGGCGTGGCCAGAGGCGCGGTCCTTGTCCAGTTCCCCCGCCAGCAGCGCGGACTTGCGCGGCATCTTCAGGTCCTGTTTGATGGCCAGCGATCTCAAGCGCACAGACTCCACCGCGCCGCAGCTGCATTGTGAGGCAGGAATGACAAGACGGAAGTGTGTGAGACGGACAGCCTGGGTAGCCAGTGTTTGGGATGGAACCTCCTTGCCCCAATCTTCTAGACCCCTGAGCAGCCTGTTTTGGGACGCAACACAGTGGAAACACTTGCCGGCATGCTCAGGCAGGCATGGCAACCTAATTTTTAGGCCCTACAGCTCCAGCCTTCCCATGCATGCCCCCAAAGCTTGGCTGCCCCCTCCAAGAGGCCCCACCTGGAGAACAGGCGCTTGAGGCTCTTCCTTGACGCGCTGGCAGGCAGGTTGCCCACGAAGACGGTCCTGTGCAGCGCCGCGTCGATCTTCCGCTCGACCGGCTCCGGCTGGGTGCTGGCACCCGGCGCAGCGTCTGCGTCCCCAGCCGTGCAAGTCTCTGCGTCGGGCGCCTTGGGCCCAGCCTGGGCGGCAGCAGCCTCCTGGATGGCTGGTGTGATCACGGCGAGAACCTCCTCCTTCCTGCGAGCCATTTTCGGCAGGCTGCCGTTGCCAGAGTACGCGGGCCTGCTGCTGCTGCTGCCCTTGGCCTTGCCCTCAGAGGTACTCTCCGGCGACGGCCGCTTGAGGGCCGCTCCCTTGCCAGGCTTCTTCGCTGCCTTGTCTTGCTGCAGAGGAATGCTCGTGGCAGCGGCCTCGGCTGCTGGCTCCCCCGTGGCTACTGCTGCTGATGTCGGGCGCCCTTTGGACAGCTGTTTGCTTCCTGAAACCTTCGAGGCTGCAGGCTTTCCTTCAGGCACAGCTGCTGCCGTGTCTGCCTGGCTCGCAGCCTGCACTGCTGCAGCTAGCAGCACATCAGGTTTCGAGCGCACCTTGGACTTGAATTTTTTACTACTCGCAAAAATATCAAGGGGCTTCCCCTTTGCCACAGGGAATAGACCGGCGAAGAGGGAAGGGGGTACCATGGTGGGCAGTGCAGTGGTAGGCCCTCCGTGCTCGGGCTCGGCACCCTCCGTCGGAGTCCTACGACGAAATATAACAATGTTCAAGTATTAAAAATAGAGAGTCCTGATTTGAATATCAACTGAATTATGTCTGAATAGCTTGCCATCTTCATGCATGATGAGCACCCCGTAGGCCAAGGTGCCAAGGCGCGAAGCTCGACGTTGATCGCTGTCCTGCTTAAGATCCCAGGAGGTCGTCACGAAGCCCTGACCTGATTGACCATGCACAGAAGAGGAACAGTTGTAGCATTTTGAATCCATCGATCTGGTTCACAATCGGTCTCCCACCCATGGTGGTGGCCGACTTCCTCACCCCGCTGACGGTGGGTGCAGGTGACGCCGCAAGAGAGCAGCAGTACGCTGCTGTCCTTGAGCGTGTAGTGCTCCTGCTTGATGGTAAGTACTGGCAGCATATACTGTTGGTCGTTATCCTGGAGGACTGTTCGTCAGCTGTGTCTTCTCAGGACACTCACTGCCACCAGTCAAATGCATGACGCACCAACCCTGCTGCATCCCATCACTCAGCCGTCCTGCCCTCCCACCCTCGCATCAGGTGAAGACGACTGGATCGTGGCCATGTCCACTGTCGCGTCCGAGCTGCATGCAGCATTCGATTATTTCCACTGGACAGGGTTTTACAGGACAACTGCCCCTGGCGTGCTGAAGCTGGGCCCGTACCAGGGAGGCACCGCCTGCCTCACCATCCCCTTCTCCCGCGGCGTGTGCGGTGCCGCAGCTCGAGAAGCCAGGACGCAGCTCGTCCCCGATGTCCACTCCTTCCCTGGCCACATTGCCTGCGCCTCCAGCACCCTCTCCGAGATTGTGGTCCCGGTGTGTGATCGCAGCAATGGCACTGCCATTGCTGTGCTGGACATCGACTCAAATCTCCCCGCCGCATTCACTGCCTCGGATGTGGCTGGTTTGGAGCATCTCACTGGCTGGCTTGAGGCTCAGAGTTGGAATGCCAAGTACTGGCCTTGACCCTTGTTAATAGTGGTCCTCAGACGTTTTTTCAGTATAGGTGAATGCTTGCGAGCTGCAGAGCTCCGATGCGGCGGTGTGTGATAACATATCTGGCACAGTTCCCTCCGAGTGGGAACATCCCCAATGCCTTGAGGTCGATCTCGCCCGATTTTCCCTGCGCGCAATGTCATTTTTGCTGCCATGCTTGGGATCCCAGCGAGCATGAACGGTATGCTTGCAACCTTGCTTTATACTATTCAGTATAGAGCCCTAGCAAGCTAGCCTCTTGTGCCTTCCTTCGCCGCGGAGGGGACCAGTGGTGATCCAGACTCGAGTCCTTGGCGTGCACCCTCTCCCAACGCGCTCACACCACGATCAAAGGAGAAAGTCGCGCCACCGATCTTTTGATCGGTTTGGGTATCTTTATTCCGCCGGAGCTGTTCCCTGAATCCTCTCCAAATACCTGGCGGTGGCCATGAGTCGCGACACTGGGCCCCCTGCCAACGGCCGCCCAGGGGACACCGCTCCCCGGTTCACCCTGGACGAGGTGGAGCTGGATGCAGAGCCCTCTGGTTTGTCCCCTTCGCAGGATCGTCGGGGCCTGACGACTGGGACAGGCCCCAGCAGTGACGCTGTGAGTTCCTCTGGTCTGTCCCCAGGCACTTCATGGTTTGGGTTTCCACATGCACTGGGACCCACTCTCCCCCCACTCTGAACCTCCCATGACCCACTTTACCCCAGGCCGTGTTTAACCTGGATCTGGACTACAGCGACGACGACGCCCTGCTGGATTGGGAGCAGTATGCGGGGCTGCGCCGCTTTCGCTGCTGCGGCCGCGAGTGGACGCTGCCCTCCTGGGCTCGCCCGCGCCCCCCTGACTGGTGGTGGACCTACACCAAGCGCCAGAGGCGCCTGCTCCTCTCCGGCGCCGCCTGCTGTCTCACCTTCATCCTGCTGATCGCTGCGCTGGCCGCCGCCGCCGCCTCGGGCCACTCCATCCTGCCGGGCCTGATCGGGCGCGGCGACGCAGAGTACTGCGCCTGGGTGGAGCCACGCCTGCCCCCAGGCATCGTGCCCCGCCGGTACGCGCTGACGCTGGGCACGAAGATGGCGGCCCCGTACGTCGTGGAGGGCAGCCTGACCATAGACCTGAATGTGACCAAGGTGTGGCATGGTTTGGTGTGGGTTAGAGGTAGAGGGAAGGGGAGGCGGGGAGGCGGTGCGCTGAATGTCACCAGGCGATGCCCCGGAAGGTGCCTGGCCCCGGGGCAGCAGGGTTCAGGGGGCCATACAGGGCTCTCCGTGGCGCGGATCCCCTGCCAGATGGTCCCGTGCTGCGGCACCTCTCAACCTTGGTTATTTGGAATCACAGATAGCGCTGCAGGGGTCCTTTCAAACAGTCTCCCCCCTTGCTCACATGCAGGCCGCCAGGTGCGTTGTCCTGCACGCCGCCTCCGGCCTGGGCATCCAGGGCGTCTGGCTGGGCAATGGCACCGGCGGCGCACAGGGCGAGCTGAGGGACCGCCCGGGGCACCAGCAGCTCGTCCTGCAATTTCCCTCCACCCTTCAGCCGGGGGAGGGGAACAGCCTGCACTTCCGCTTTGCCTACAACCTGTCCGAGGGCCTCAGCGGGTTTTACAGGTTACCGCGTGCGGTGGGAGGGCGGGTGGTGGCGGGGGAGGGTGAGGCAGGGCTGCGAGCTTGGGATGCAGATGTGGGAAACCCTCTGAAAGGCGCTGCCTCTCCCTGGTCTTCTGGCGGCACCGCATCACCGCCAACGTTCCAGCTGTGCTGCCGCTGCCCTGCTCCAAGGAGCGCCTGGCAGCTGCCTGGTGGGCTCTCAGGACATGCACAGTTTGCCAGCTCTCTAACCCCTTCTCGTTCCCCTTCCCCCTCTAGGAGCTCGTACACGCTGGGGGCCGAGACGCACAGTCTGGCCACCACGCAGTTTGAGGCGACGTCGGCGCGCTCCGCCTTCCCCTGCTTTGACGAGCCAGCCCTCAAGGTGAAGAAGTGGGCATGTGATGTCGCCTGCGTGGAGGATGGAGGAGTGCCGGGCCCGTACGCTTGTCAGCACGCTGCAGTCTTCACCCACAGGGTGACCCGCAGACCATCTGGGTGCGTGCACAGCCCCTTGCTGAGGCTCCCAATGTTACCCCGCACAGGCCGTCTTTGTGCTGACCGTTGAGGCCCCAGCAACCTACACCGTGCTGTCCAACATGCCCGCCAGCGCAGTACACCATGTGAGGAAAGGGTGGCGGGGGACAGCTCCTTTGTGTCAATGACCCACCATCATCCAACCCCAGGCTGCCGGCCGCTCCTTTGGGAAGGATGAGTCTGGGCCATGAGACTCACTTCCTCTATCTTCCATTCTCCCCTCCTTTCCCCATAGCATCATGAGGAGGGAGAGGGGCATGGCCCGGCATTGGCCAGCTGGCACTTCCCACCCACGCCCCCCATGTCCACCTACCTCCTCGCGATTGTGATTGGGGAGCTGGCGGGGACCTCTCGCCTCGTCCCGGGTGCGACTGCAGGGGCAGACCCTCGGAACGTGACCGTCTGGGGAACGCCAGACAGGTGAATGGGTGGTGGGACAATGGTCTCCCCATCGGCAGGAGAAGGGTGTGGTGCAAGGAGGGAGCGTGAATGTTGGAATTCTGGGTCCATCGCTTGATGACAAGAGCCTGCAAGAAATCCAAGCCTCTCATGCATGCCATGCTGTCTCTGTCCCTGGGATTCCAGCCCTTCTCATGCCATGTCATCGAGGAGAGCTGATTGGGCACCCAGCCACGTTCCAGGTTGGGTTGCTCCTTCAGACCATGCTCACGCTGTGCCCGCTCCTCAATTCCACCCCAGGCGTGCCAGCCTGGAGTTTGCGGCAGACATCGCCTCAAAGGTCCTGCCGGCCTACGAGGCCGCGTTTGGGGTGCCGTACTCCATGCCCAAGCTGGATCTGGTGGCCATCCCCGACTTCTCTGCAGGCGCCATGGAGAACTGGGGTGCGTCGCTGTGCCGGGGCTATTGCTGCTGAGAAGGGGCAAGAGGGGGTCGTCCACTGGTGGGTGGCAGGCCCATTGCTGTTGTGTTCGAATCAAGGAGAACATGAACATCCATGGTCTCAGTGTCTGCTGTGGCCACACGTTCCCCACCACCGCTCCGTGGCCCCTCCCAACCCCCGAGCAGGCCTCATTCTGTACCGGGAAACGGCGCTGCTTACCTCCCCGACCAGCAGCCTGGCCGACCGGCGCTGGGTTGCCAAGGTGGTGGCGCATGAGATGGCGCACATGGTGAGGGGCTAGGGACTGGGCGTTGTTCTTCGGGTCCTTTGCTTGTGTAGGGTCTGCCGATGCTGAGGACCTGGAATTGTGGAATGCACAGGCCCCAAGCTGCATGTGGTGGCCCTGTTTCAAGGGACACAAGGCATGATACCCCTCTCTCATCATCCCCTCAGTGGTTTGGCGACCTGGTGACCATGGAGTGGTGGGGAGAGCTGTGGCTCAACGAGGGCTTTGCCTCCTACCTGGAGTTCCTGGGCGCTCAGGCCGGTGAGGTCGCAGGGAGGGCCGCTGCCTGCATCGACTGCGATTTGCGGACGTCGGGCTGGTCTGATGACCCCCTTGAGGCTTCAAGCCTGGGGGCCGGAAGTAGCGTCCAGGGTGGGAACTCCTGTCTCGATTTCCCCCATACAATGCCTCATACAGCCTCCCCGGAGCTGGACATCTTCCTCAGTTTCTACACCGATGTGCTCCCCGATGCACTGGAGGAGGACTCGCTGAACAGCAGCCACCCGCTGTCCATCCCACAAGGCATGGTGGGGGTGGGCTGAGGGGCGCGCTCGGGCAGGGTCGCCGCAGTCTTCCCAGCCTCAAGCCAGCAGGGGTGCGGGGGGTTCTCCCGACGAATGACAGGTACCCCAAGCCAACCCCCTCACACCATTGCAGGCGTCAACACTTCGGAGAGGATAGAGTCGCTGTTCGACTCCATCGAGTACAACAAGGGCGCCGCTGTGCTGCGCATGCTGCGCGCCTGGGTCAATCGCGGGGCGGGCCTGGGCGCCTTGGAGGCCGCCGCCGGCATCAACCCCGCCCAGGTGGGGAGGTGTAGGGTGGTTGTCAGACTGCAGCCGGGTAGAGCTGTCCTGTTCCCTCCTTTCTGAATCCCGTGTGATCTCCCCTGCACCCGTGCCAATAAATACATGCAACTCACTCCAAGCAGGACCCTTTCCTGGCGGGCCTCCAGGCGTACCTGAACCTTGGCGCCTACAATGCGACCACAGGGTCAGAGCTGTGGAGGGCCCTGGCCGGCCCACTCGGACTCCCAGACCTCCCCAAGGTGGATGGGTTACCTTTCATGGGGAACTAGGCAATGCTTGGCTGAGGAAGACACAGCCTATGTTTCATGCAGCCACCTCCCTGGGGTAGGAGCTGGCCGGCCATGACAGGGGCTCTTGGCACCAGGATACTCCCTTGCCAACCCCTCACCCCTCCCTCTCCACTCGCGCGCAGAGGATGCGGGCCTGGACGTACCAGCAGGGCTACCCCTTGGTGCGCGTCTCCCTGGACGAGGGAGGGCGCGTCTGGCTCCAGCAGGTCTGGTCGTTTGTGGCATTGGGGTGGCTTGAGGGGGTGGTCAGGGTCCCTGTTGGGGTCGGGACGGCATGAGCTTCCACAGCGCACAAAGACCGGAGGTTGATTCTTCATCCAAACCCCAAGCATGGAAACTATGTACGTCCCGCTGGGGTCAAGCTCCTCTCACGCCATCCGCTGCCCCCTCCCCACGATTCTAGTCCCGATTCGGGATCGCAGGGGTCACGCCCTGCGACTCGACAGCCGCCTTCTGGCTCCCCGTGGCCCTGGCCACAGCCGACACCCCGACTGGCAAACCCACTTGGACCGAGTTCTCCGGCTGCCAGTCGGCGGCGCCCGTGCTGCAGAACGCGGCGTCGGCCGGCACCTGGGTCAAGGCCAACGCCGGGCAGTACGGCTTCTTCCGGGTGCAGTACGACGAAGCCCTGTGGGCCCGGCTGGTGGCGGCCGCCCCGACCCTGCCTCCCACTGACCTGGCGGGGTTGCTGGAGGACAGCTGGGCGCTGGCCGAGGCAGGGGAGCTGGGCATCGACACCTTTCTGAATCTCGTCGGGTGCGCGCCATTCCAGGGGAGGGCGCGCGAGGGTGGGTGGGTCTGCCGTGAGGGGGATCGCGGATGGCTGGGTTGTGTTGGGAAATCTGACGAGTCGCATCCCAGGGCTGCAACCGTCCCTCTGCCCACCGGCGCACTGGGCACGCGCGGAGGCTTCCTTGGCGAGGCGCACAGCCTTTCCTCGGTTCTTCAGGCCCTGGGGGTCCCCCCTCTTGACGACCCGACCGCCACCCCGCCCCCCTTCAACCCTCCCACACGCCCATCCAGCTCGCTGGCCGCTCGCTCGCCGGAGGACTACGAGCCCTGGGCGGCGGCGCTGCCTTACCTGGAGCGCGTGGCGCAGCTGGCCCCCTGCAGCACGCTGTGGCAGAACTACCTGGCCCAGACCCTGTTCAACACCTTCCTGCGCCAGGACGCGGGGGGCCAGGCGAATACCAGCACTGCCCCCCCGCCCCTGGCCTTCTCCTTCGATGCCCCGTCGCCGGAGGGGGCGGGGGTCGGTCAGCGACTGCTGCGCCCCGCCATCCTTGCGGCGGCTGGGCGGTACGGCCACCTGGCCATCACGGTGAGATGGGATCGAGTGAAGGAGAGGGGGGCCACGCCACCTGCCCGCCATGCGTCACGCACGGGCATGCAGGCCCCAAGCCCGTCGGATGTATCCAGGACTATGCACCCTTTTCCCCCTCTCGCTTCCATTTCCAGGCCCAGGCGCTGGAGCTGGTGCCCAACCTGACGGCCAGCAGCGTCGACCCGGACGCGCGCTCCGCGCTCCTGGCCACGGCGGTCCGCGCCGGGCACCGCGACGTGTGGGAGGGCGTGCACCGGCTGTACCTGGCCGCCGACGCCGCGGACGAGCGCGAGCGCACGCTGCGCGCGCTGGCGGCCGCGCCGGGGGCGGCGGCCGATCCCCTGGACTGGAGCCTGGGGCCGGAGGTCCGCGCACAGGTGAGCAGGAGTTTTCTTTGGGAGCGGGGGTGGGGAGGGACGGGGAAAACGAGCGAGGTGGGATGTGGCGAGCGGGAGGGACGGTCCACCCGAGGCGTTGCATTCTGTTTCACCTCGCTGGAGAACCAAGGATGGTGCACATGTGCCATCGGAGGCGAACCCTGGCCCTGCGAGCATGCACACCAGCCCTCGCTGCCTCGTGGACTTCACCCCCTCCCCTTCTGCCGCGCTTTTCCTCGCAGGACATGGCCACCGTCATCGTCACCGCCGCCCGGGCCCGCCCCGACACGCCAAGCCTGGTCTGGGCCTGGCTGGGCCGGAAGTGGAGGCCAGTGTCTGAGAAGCTTGGAGGTGGGGCGGGGGGGTCTGAGAGGCGGAGAACTGGTGGCGACTGGGCATGGGGGACTGTTGCATACGACATGGGCTGAACGCCAACTTCCACACGTCTTTTTCCTGGGCAGGAGGGAACGAGGGGGCACGCCGCATGGGGTCCCTGCTGGAAAGCGTGGCGTCCCTCTTCTCCAACCAGACCGCGATCCCGGAGGTGGAGGCCGTCTTCGCTGCCAGCAGGGTGGGAGCACTGTGGGGATCGAGCTTCATCTGCAAGGGTGCCGGGGTTTTGCACTGCCAGACTCTGTCGTCAAGGAGGGGTTTCCTCCATATTGGCCGGAAAGGACTGCCGAGGGGCAGCCACACAGAGCCACTAGACCCATGCCCTACATCTCAACCAACGCCAACTCTCAACCCATTTCCACCTCTTCAGGGCGTCGTCACGGAGGGGATCTACCTCGAGCGGGCGCGAGAGACCATCGAGACGAATGCAGTATGGGTGACCGCCCACGGATCCAAGCTCTGTACATGGGCGGCGCAACATGCCAAGCTCAAACCATAGGGCCTCAAAAGGTTGTTTGACTGCTGACTGTAGCACTGTGAGACTGATGGAGGGAGTCGTTTGACCAAAAGGCATTGGTGGCCTCTGGCAGCATTCCGTGGTGGGTGATCGAAGATCCTCGCGGGCCGACAGTGGCGCGCCATGGTGGTGCTACATTTGACACCGGGTCAGGAACCCCAAAGGCTTTGCATCCATAATTATATCCACTTGAATGCATCGAATATAGTACCGCTGTGTTACGAGAGCAAAGGTGCCACACCAAAGGTGCCACACCCGCACCCGGATCACTTCCAAGGAGACCCAGAAACCGCGATGATGGGCGCCTTCAAGCTCAGCGGATCCGCGTGGACGTCATATGCATCACGTTACTGTAAAGATGGAGTATCGTCTGCGGTATTCAGAGCACCAGCGAGGTGGGTCACGACCTGGAATGCATGGACACACGGCGCCTCGCAAGTGTGCAGCTGCTGACATGCAGCCCTCGTACCGAAAGGAGACCACATAACATTTCCTTTGAATAAAATCAGGTTCATCCGGTCATACACCGTGGCAGCGGGGCCGGGACTGCACCCAGCCTCTGTCCAGGTGCGTAGGAAGTCTCGGGCCTCCAGCTTCACGTACATCTAAAGAGCCGCCTCTTCAGCACCGCTCATCCCCTTCCTTCGCCCCCTGTGCGGAGCAGACACCAGCCCCCCCCGGTCCTGGGCTCCCGAAACTTGTGGTCTTTGGAGGCAGTGGATTTGTGGGGACCTGGGTCCTGCAGGCTGGCCTGGATCGCGGTGCAGATGTGACGAGCGTGAGCAGGAAGGGGCGGCCAGAGAAGGTGGGGCCAGGAACGTGGGGCGACGCCGTGCAATGGACGCTGGGCGACGCTCTGGACCCTGCCCAGCCCTGGCGCAAGGCGCTGGAGGGTGCTACAGGCGTGATTTCCACCCTGGGCGCCTTTGGGACCACTGAACAGATGTACAAGGTACCCAGGGTGTTGGGAGTGGGGGCGGAATCTGAGGTGTTGGTGGCAGTTTTGCCCTCTGCTGAGTCATCCACATCCAGTGAAAGGGGGCCTGGTTTCCATGGTGCAGACATGCTAGTCCTGCCGCACTTTTGGATTCATAATGTACAGCATGGTCGACCTGTCCTGCCTGCTCTACTGCAGACGTGCGGGGAGGCCAACATCCTGCTGATGAAGGCGGCGGCTGCGGCCGGCGTGCCGCGCTTTGCGTTCATTTCGGTGCACGAGTTCAAGCTGTCGAGTATGTCTTTGGAGAGGGGTTTCCAGGAGCGCTGTCTCCCGGAGGAATGTTGGTGCCCTGTGCAGGTGACGAGTGCGCACTTGTCAGTACATCTATTGTCCGATGCCTCCCCTCCCCAGCTCTGGATCCTCTCCTCATGGGTGGCTTCTGCTCCTAGAGTGCCACATCTCATCTTGCCTCGTCTGGCTGCAGGGGGCTGGCATGCACAGGACTTCCTTCTCAAGGGCTACTTCCAGGGGAAGAGGGATGCGGAGGCGGAGCTGGCCGTCTCCTTTCCCACAGGCGGCGTGGCCTTGCGGCCGGGCTTCATCCATGGCGAGCGGGATGTGGGTTCAGTGTCGCTGCCCCTCAGCGTGGTCGGCACACCCTGGGCCAAGGTAGAAGCGATGAATGGGCAGAGGGCAGCGAAGATTGCGTCAAAGCCACCTGTCCCAGGGTTTGACTTGAGCGACATTCATCCACGTGCCACGATGAGTCACCGTGTCACCATGCGCCGCCCACCCTTCGCCAACCACGACTCCTTCCCCCCACACAAACCCCAAACTCTTTCCCCGCCCACCCTCCTCTCCATCCCTACAGTTGCTGAGTGCCCTGCCTTCACAGTCACTGGCGGACCTCCCCATCGTCGGCGCGGCGTTCGTGCCCCCCGTCCCGGTCGAGGTCGTGGGCAGGGCAGCGGTTGCGGCCGTGCTGGATGCCAGCGTGCCGCCCGGCATCATGGATGTGGTGAATGGTGCTGGGGAGAGGGATCCATTGGCGGCCTGCCCTCACCGTTGCCGGCCCTGTGATCAGGAGGGCTCTGGCTGTTGACTCTACAGCCCGCAGTGGCACGCAGTGGCAGCTCACGATCCCCCCCCACCAAGCCTCGCCCTCCCACCCCCCGTCGCGTGCAGTGGCAGATCCAGAAGTATGGCGCAGCCCCCGGCGCCTAGCGCGCCTCCATCTTACACCCTGAGCCTGTGCGAAATCGACCCCTCCCTGCACACTTCCATTCTCTGCATCAGCCCCGGCCCTCATCGTACCCAGTGACCTGGACACAATCTGGTTTTACATTCATGGAATGGTTGCAAATGGACGAGGATAGCGAGACAAGTGCTGCTTGCCATGCAATATCGAAATGCGAGGGGTGGTGTGCGGACTGACTCTCACTTACGACGAGGAAGACTGTGCGGCAAGGTGCCAGAAAGGTGATGCAAAGGGCGCTCTGCCCCGGGATTCAGATGGAAACGGGCCGAAAACCAGACCGGGTATGTATTCAAGGCGGCTGCATCAGTGGGGGGGGGGCGCCCGGGGAGAAAGATCGGACAGGGGCGCACTGCCCCCGCCCTCAGCGCTGCCCCAGCGCCGAGCGGATGTACCAGTCGACGATGCCGTCCTGCATCGCCGTGGGTACGACCGCCGCGCCCATGACGGCGGCCGAGTCCCTCAGGCTGCGCAGGCCGGCGGCGCGCTCGCGCACGCTGCCGTCGGGAAAGCGCGCCTCCAGCGCGCGCAGCAGGGCGTCCAGCGCGGCGCCCTGCTCATCCCTCGTGCCGCGGGGGCCGGCCGCCGAGCCCCCGGCCTTTGCGCGGGCGCGGCCCACGTCGGCCACTTCGACGCCAGCCACGTCGCCGTCCTCGCACTCGTCGACCTTGCCGTCGCAGCGCAGGAGGGCGGCGTGGCAGAGAGCCAGCGCGGCCGCCCCCGTGGCCGCCGCCGACAGCTCGTGCGCCTCGGTCTCGCGGCGGTACGCGCCAAAGTAGGACGCGTACCAGCGCAGCGCGGCGGGCGGCAGCCCGCCCGCCAGCGCCAGGTGGCGCACCGCCAGCGGATCGCGCGTGCAGGCCACGCGCGCCGCCTCCGCCCAGGTGGTGGGCGAGGCGGCCCAGCGCAGCTGGTGCTCGGAGACGCGGGCGCCCGCCGTCGCCGCGTCGCCGTCGCCGGGCCAGACGGGGAGGCGCGCGCCGCCCGACCGCGCGGCCAGAAAGTCCAGGCAGGCCTCGCGGTCCGCGGCACGCAGGTCGGGCTGCGGCTCGGCGGTCTCCGCGGCCATGCCGGCGGCCACGGCCGCCGCCGCCAGGGCCGCCGCCGCTGCGGCGGAGAGGGAGGAGGAGGCGGCAGAGCGCAGGCGGGCCGAAAGGCGCTTGCGCATGCCGCCGCCGTCGGTGGCGTGCCCCCGGCTCAGCGCGCTTGAGGAGTTCGGGGAGGGGGTGAGGGACGGCGCGCCCGCCCACTCGTCCCCCCCCGACTCGCTGTCGTCGCCGCGCCCGCCCAGGGTGGACGCGGAGGGCGAGCGCGCGGTGGGGGTGGCGGCGGGCGAGCCGGCCGGCGACCGCCCGCCGCGCAGACGGCCCAGCGTGTCGGAGCCGGCGCGGGAGAGCGAGTCGCGGGCGTCGGACAGGGCGCGCAGGCCGCGCCGACGCCAGCCGCTCGCGAGGCCGGGCGCCGCCAGCGAGGCAAACGCGGCGGGCCCTCGCGCCGCGACCTCGGCCTCGGCGGCCGCGAAGAAGGCGGGCACGGTCTGCGCGGCGAGCAGGGAGGGGTGCTTCGCCGCGCCGTCGTCGCCGCCCTTCGCCCCGGCGGCCCCCTCCTCGCAGCCCAGCCACTCCAGCGTGGGCCGGACCAGCTGCCAGCCGGCCGGGCGAGTGGCCGCGGCGTGCAACGCGGCCACGTGCAGCGCCAGCGCCAGCTCCGGGCGCGCGCCGCCGGCGGCCGCCAGCAGGCGCAGCGCGTACAGCGCCGCCG